GGAGATAGAGATAATATTTATTCACATAATATATGGAGATAGAAAGTAATTATATACTCACATAATATATGGTATTAGGTAGTAATATATTTTCACATAATATATGGCATTAGAGAGTAATATATATTCACATAATATATGGAGATAGAGAGTAATATGTATTCACATAATATATGACAATAGAGAGTAATATATATTCACAATATATGGCAATAGAGAGTAATATATATTCACATAATATATGGCAATAGAGATTAATATATAATCACATACTATATGGAGATACAGAGTAATTATATATTCAAATAATATATGGTATTAGGTAGTAATATATTTTCACATAATATATAGAGATAGAGAGCAATATATATTCACATAATCTATGGCAATAGAGAGTAATATATATTCACATAATATATGGCAATAGACAGTAATATGCATTTTAACGTTGTATTTGGGTTATTTTGAATTTACCAAATTTTGAGCAATTTGTTCTTTGTTGTATATCATTGTTTAGGATATAGCAATGCTGTAAAAGTTACATATGATTTCAATAATATAGACTATTCTTATCATCATAGGATCATGATGGCCATGGACCTGAGTTTTTAAAACACATGCATAGATTGAACAAAGAAACTGGAACCAATATAAGTGTAAGTAATCTCACATAATTATTACATGTCCTCAATTTTATGCAAATCAGAATGGCAACATTGAGTGTATTTTGCCATCTAATCAAGCTTGCATTGACTGCAGTCACTTGTATAGACCATTTCTACTTATTGAATAGTTGTTCAAGATGGCAGCCATCGCTGTTAGTTGTACAGACCGTTTCTACTCATTTAATATTTGTTAGTCCTCGTTCGGACGCAGTACGAAAACAGGGATTTAGTTTTGACCTCCGTGCGTCCCTGCTTCTGTCAAACAATCAAACTTCACACATACATGATATTATACATATGCACATCAATTTGTTTCACAATCTGATTCAAGATGGCCGAATGTGGTTCTAGTGCCATATCTCTGACTTGCTGTGACTGATTATGTTCAAATTTTATATATTCATTATACATCATGTCATAGATTTACAGATATATTGGTTTGACGATCCTATTCAAAATGGCCGAATGGTGGCCATTTTTGTGCTGAAAAAATCATCAAATATCAAGCATTTCTGGCATTTATGGATGGATTTTGTTCAAACTTGTACATACATTAGACATTACGGATTCCTGATGCACGTCATTTTATTTTTCAGATCTGATTCAAAATGGCTGACTGGCGGCCATTTTGTTTTAATGAATGGGCTTCTAGACTCATATCTCTGACTTGCTTTCACTGATTATGTTCAAATTTTTAATATTTATTATACATCATGTCATAGATTTACAGATATATTGGTTTAACAATTCTATTCAAAATGGTCGAATGGTGGCCATTTTTGTGCTAAAAAATCATCATAATCAAGCATTTCTCGGCTGTTTACAGATGGATTTTGTTCAAACTTGGTATATACATTATACATCATATGACCTTGATGCAAACAATTTTATTTTTCAGATCGGATTCAAAATGACTGACTGGTGGCCATTTTGTTTAATGATTGAGCTTCTAGAGCCATATCTCTGAAATGCTTTGACTGACTATGTTCAAATTTTATATATTCATTATACATGTATTCAAAATGGCTGATTTTGTTTTAATTAATGTAACTCTCAATACTTGTTTGACAATCAGATACAAATGTCAATCATTTAAATGTTAAACAATCATCATAATCATATTTCTGACATGGTTATATTCTAGCTACTAGTATATTACTATAAACAAAACTATATATCTTAAATTTGATAACTAACGAGGACTGTTCCATGCATGGCTTGTTCAAGATGGCAACCACCGTTGTCACTTGTATAGACCATTTCTACTCATTGAATATTTTGTTCAAGATGGCAGCCACCACTGTTACTTGTATAGACCTCTTCTACTCATTGAATAGTTGTTCAAGATGGCAGCCACCGCTGTCACTTTTATAGACCATTTCTACTCATTGAATAGTTGTTCAAGATGGCAGCCACCGCTGTCACTCTTATAGACCATTTCTACTCATTGAAAAGTTGTTCAAGATGGCAGCCACCGCTGTCACTTTTATAGACCATTTCTACTCATTGAATAGTTGTTCAAGATGGCAGCCACCACTGTTATGTTATAGACCATTTCTACTCATTGAATAGTTGTTTAAGATGGCAACCATCGCTGTCACTTTTATAGATCATTTCTACTCATTGAATATTTTGTTCAAGATGGCAGCCACCGCTGTCACTTGTATAGACCATTTCTACTCATTGAATAGTTGTTCAAGATGGCAGCTACCGCTGTCACTTGTATAGACCATTTCTACTCATTGAGTAGTTGTTCAAGATGGCAGCCACCGCTGTCACTTGTATAGATCATTTCTACTCATTGAATATTTTGTTCAAGATGGCAGCCACCGCTGTCACTTTTATAGACCATTTCTACTCATTGAATATTTTGTTCAAGATGGCAGCCACCGCTGTCACTTGTATAGACCATTTCTACTCATTGAATAGTTGTTCAAGATGGCAGCCACTGCTGTCACTCTTATAGACCATTTCTACTCATTGAATATTTTGTTCAAGATGGCAGCCACCGCTGTATCTAAACCATTTCAACCCATCGAATAGTTTTTCAAGATGGCAGCCATCGCTGTCACTTTTATAGACCATTTCTACGCATTGTATAGTTATTCAAGATGGCAACCATGGCTGTCTATTGTACAAACCATTTTTACTTATTCATTAGTTGTTTGATGAATATTTTTGTCATTTTTGGTAAGAAGCGATATTTTCGACTGCTTGTTAAAAACCGCAAGTCTGATTGCTTTAATATCACACATATAGGTACTACAGGTTGACCTTTCTCAGATTTGTTCATTTCGTGGTGATATCTTTAATTCTCTAATTTTGAAGAATATTTTTGTTATTTTTGGTAAGAAGTGATATTTTCGACTGCTTGTTAAAAACCGCAAGTCATATAAGTACCTCAGATAGACATCTTTCAGATTTGTTCATTTTCAAATGATAGCTTCAGTACTTTAATTAAAACGTACATTGCTAATAGTGGAGTTATCTGAGCCGAGAGGCTGCTTGTTGAAACGTACATTGCTAATAGTGGAGCTATCTGAGCCGAGAGGCTGCTTGTTGAAACGTGCATTGCTAATAGTGGAGCTATCTGAGCCGAGAGGCTGCTTGTTGAAACATACATTGCGAATAGTGGAGCTATCTGAGCCGAGAGGCTGCTTGTTAAATTTATTTATTCATTGATGGAATGTATTATAAACTTTTTAATGCTGAAGTCAAAAATTATTTGAATGTTGATTTCTGAAAAGAAAAAAAAAGCAGCCTCCACTACTATCTTTCAAAACTCAAGTTTAATCCAAGTCCAAGTGCATATAGGTTTCATAGACTAACTCATGACAATGAAATGTTTATTCACCACTACTGTTAGTGTTTATGTTTGCAAGTGAGTGCAAACAAATTGAATAATTAACAGCAAAGAGTCTTCTTCAACATAGTGACAGTACTATTCCTAGAAAGATTAAGCTGGTAATGTAGTCCAGACACTCCTAGAACCAATGATCCTAATCCATTCTGGTGAATAATTTATGTAAGCAGACAGTGACAACTACTATATTAACAATATGTCAGTATCTTAGTATTACTGATGAAATGGAACATTTGAATAGCTATTAATCTCGGCAATTTGTTTCTCACAATGAATAAAACAAGTCTGCTATGTTGGTTTTTCAGTGCATTGTCACCTTTTTCTTTGCCCACAAAGAAACAATGAACAGTCTCCCAGACATGAACCTGACGCATTAACCGAGTGTAGGCTTTGATAAAGTGAGTCTTTGGGGTCAAACTGGTGTCATATGCTAATTATCTCACCGTTGTGAATCATGATTTTTAATTGGCCAAAAGACTTTAGGCAAGAAAAAAAAGTAACTCAATCAATCACACACTTGCTTAGCTCCACCACTCATATAACCAATTTTCCTGTCTCTACAAGTCTATAGTAGAATTGACCTGTATGTTACTTTGAGAACAGTCATGTAATCAATCATTTGGCTTGTTTGTCTGAAAATTTGTCTTTGATACTTTTTGTTCTACAGGCCAAAAATACTGTAAAGCAAAAACAATTCACCTTTGTTTGTTAATGGGTTACCATTAAAGAAGTTATATACTATGTCATTGAAAATATACAAAAATGAGAAATTTGTTTATATTCTTTTATTGCAAATTACAAATATTTGTTGTCAGCACACGAGCACGCAATACTGAATGAACTAATACATTGTTTACAAAACATGCAAGTACTTTTCACTGTGGGAATATCGACTAAAATCTTATAATTCAGCCACTCAAAATATAATTTCCATTTTTCTTCAAATAGTTCAGCCACTCGCATTATAATTATATATTTGATGTGACTTACTTTGTTTTTCTCAACTTTATGCACATACTTTAGTGCACGTAAACTTAACATTGAATATATGAGACACAAGTTAGCCACACTACCTTATACAACATAACCACTTTGTAAAAATATCAAGGTGGAATCTGAATACCATTTTTTGACTGAATGTGAAATGCTCACAACAATTAGAGAAAAATTATTGCAGAAAATCTTGTCATTTCAAAACACCTAAGTACTATTTAGAAATTGTGCTTTATTCTGGAGCCTGCACACAATATAGTGTTGGTTCATACATATTTCAAATGTACAATCTGAAAGAGTATCTCAGGTCAGCAATGTGCTGTGTTGTTGTTGATACTGTATCTCTTTCACAAGAAGGTTTTGGTAATTAAATAAATTTTTAATTATTTTTTCTTTTCTGTCTTCAGTAATTATCTGTCCTAAGTATTTAATTAATTAATTGCTTGAGATTGATATTATTAAAATTAATTTAACTTTTAATGATTTTATTGCACTTTTTCAACTTGCATTCATAATTGATCTTCTGCTTCTGCTGTTAGTGTAGTGTCATCTTATGTTCTAAAAATGTCTTGTTTATAAAATTAAACAAATTCAAATGCAGCCTTTGTGTACACCTCTTCTGATTTGTATTCTCATTAATTCTCCTCCTCTTTCTACTCGGGTTCCAATAGAAGTATGAAAATATATATTTGTAAATTGTATACATGACAATGACAGGAGATAACTAAGCTATAGAGTAAACACTGTATTACCCAGCACTGCTACATTGTATACATCAGCTGTGTAAACATTCCATTTTATCTCAAGCCATTATTCCAGAGTTCTGTTTTTGGTTGTATTTGAAGGTCAATTTGACTTTGAATCCACCTGTTGCTTAATTTGTACTCAATGTTAACATATTTAACCTTCATGAATTAATGTTACATATAATGGTGGCATATCACCAATTTCTAATCCATCTATACATTAACTTTACCAATTATAAATTATTTGTATATATTTACAGTTTTGGTAGTATAGAGATCATACTGCAAACTAAGTGATACCTCCATCTTGTTATTGCTATTTGTTAGTGCCATTGTTTTAATATC